AACAGAAGTGGGGAYATTACTACCAACTCTACTACAGAAGCAAAAAGGATCCTCTGATGAACAATCGTAGGCCAACAAATTCAATGAACCGGACAAATTTCTAGAAACGATACGGAATCCCTGGAGACTTCAAAAGTCTCACCAAAACCAATTACCAAAATTGACTCATGAAGAAATAGAAAACCCCAATAGACATGTCACAAAACAAGAGCTGAATTACCAACCCGAAACCTCCCAGCCAAGAAAAGTCAATGGATGAATTCTATGGAACATTTCAAGAAGAATTAACCTCATTCCTTTTTAATTTCTTCCAAGCAACACAAAAGGAGGAAATATTACCTAAGTCATTCTATGATACCAAATCCAGACAAGGAGTCACAGATGAGCATCCCTTGGGAACATAGATGCAAAAAATTCCTCGACAAAATACCAGAAAACAGAGTCCTACGGCCCCTTGAAGAGTTTATAYAGCAGGGCCAAACCTCAGGAATGCAAGGATAGTTCAATATAAGGTGAAGCCACGCGGTATACCATGTTCACAGAATAAAGGGACAAACACCACGCGATCATTTATATTGATGCAGAAAAGCATCTGACAAAATTCAATACCCTTGCAGGACTGAAACCCTCAGCAAAATAGGGATCCAAGGGAATTCCTTCAACTCGACAAGGGTCGGATATGAAACCTCACAGTCAGCGGATGAAAAATGGAAGATGTTCCCCTAAGATGGGGAACAAGAATGGTACCCTCTTGGCTAATGCTCCGGAGTTCAAACCCGAACAGATCAGCAAGAGGCAGCGATAAAAAGTTTCCAAATAGAAAGGAAGAAGAAACACGACCCCGACTGACAGATGTCGTGATCCTAAATAGAGAAGATCCTCAAGAATCGGCAAAGAAATGACTAGAACCGAAACMCGACTTGGGCCAAGTGGAAGGATAGAAATTGACCTGGTCTCAAGGTACCAGCGAGGAGCAGCCCRGCCTGAGGTGACAAGGAAGAACTGTCCATCACAACAGCATCAAGAGCRATAAAACCCCTGGGGACAGATAAAACTAAGGAGTTGCCAGAAACAGTTACTGAAAAAAATCAAAGAAGACCTAAGTAAGATTTTGGTGAAGTGGAAGGCGTAACGTCATTGAGACAGCAATCTCCAGGTTTACAGCACTCCATGAATTTGACGCAATCCCTCTGAAAACCCCAATGTTCTTTCTTTTAATTRATTAATTTTGGGTGCTGGGCTGAGCTACATCCCCATCCCTGGCCCTTTGTACTTTTTTTTTCTTTTTTGAGACAAGGTCTCCCTTGGTTTCCCACGCCGCCTTCAAACTTGTGATCCTCCTGCCTCAGCCTCCCGAGTGCCTGGGATTATGGGCATGCTTCACCTCGACTGGTATCTTTTTCTTTTGAATGAAGAAGTTGATYCTAAAGCTCATGTGGAATTGCAAGAGAAGAGCCCAAATGGCTGTTAGAACAACAAGATCAAGACTCACTACAGAGCCGCTGTGTTCAGGGTCCTTGGGCTGTTGGCCCAGGGACACACATTTGACCAAGGATGTCGTCCGTCTGTTGACATCCAGGTCAGGAGTCTAGRAATAAACGGCATGAGTCAGGTGATTTCCCATAAGGGTGCCAGGACAATTCAATGGGGGAAAGAATGGCCTCTTAGTTAATTAATTCAATATTTATATTTGGTGATTTATATTTAATCAAGAAATATTACTTGTTGATTTATTTATTTAATGGTGCTGGGGCAACTGGATAGCTCTCTATGTGAAACGACAAAGTTTGACCCTTATCTCACACCATACACCAAAATGAATATAAAACAGGTCAGAGACCTAAACAGAAGAAGTAACAGAACAATAAAAATCTCAGGGAAAAAAAAAAAAAAACACTGGAAAAAATCTTTATGATCTTCGATTTGGTAACGGATCCTTCTTAGATGTGACTCAAAAGCACAAAGAAAGAAAGAGAGGAACTGTACTTTATAACCATTAAAAGCTCTTGCTGGGTGCAGTGGTACATGCCTATAATCCCAGAAGCTTGGGAGKCTGAGGMAGGAGRAYSRCAGGTTCGAAGCCAGCCTCAGCAACTTAGTGAGGCCCTAAGCGATTTATTAAGACTCTATCTCAAAACAAAATACAGAAAATGGGCTGGGGATGTGTCTCCGTGGTTAAACAGCTCAGGATTCAACGCCCCCAAAACTCTTGTGCATGAAAGCCCACTACTCAGAAAGTAACAAGACGAGGCAGAAAATTGAGAAAGAATATTTGCAGACCATCTATCTGATAAAGGTCAAGTATCAAGAATATGTAAAGAGCTCTTACAACCCAACAATGACAAGCAATGCAATTTAAAAAATTGGCAGAGGACGACCCAGCACGTGGGAGTCGGGAACTGGCTGCAAAGGGGCCCAAGGGATTATTGGGGGTTTTTTTTGGTCTTGTTTTGGTTTGGTTTTTTTGTGTGTGTGTGATGATGGAAATTTCCCAACATTAGATCATGGTGAGTTGCACAATCCGACACATTTTCTAGAACTAATTGAACCGAATTCAGTGGCTGCATTTGATGTTATATAAATAATACCTCAAAAGGAGCTGTGGAAATAAAAATAAAAAAGAGGATATGGCTGAGGGAGGGGCTGTCGCAATTATTTTCCSCCCAGGAGACCACTTGACTGAAAGGCAGAGAGACCACTTCCTCTCGGTGACCAGCTCTGAGTCCCCAGAGGTCCCACCCCCCCAGAGGTCCTACCACGCCTCCCTTCCGCGGGCCACACTCCTGAGACGTGGGCAGACCCAGAGGCACCCGCCCCAGTGGACACCTCAYGTCCATTTCTGGGGGTGGGGATGTGGCCCTGGCAGCTGTGAGATTTCCAGTCCCCAAACCAGCTTCTTTTTAGGTACTGAGGGACTCAGTGGGCCCTGCTGTGTCCACACACAGCCTGAGGGCTCTTGAAAATGCAAATTAGACTAAGCYACCCCTTGAAAGCCAGAGATGACTCCCCATTTCCACTGGAACAAAATCTGCTTTCCTCCCAGGTGGCATGCAATGAGTGTGACCTTCCCCCCCTCCCCCAGTTGGTCTCTGCTGCCACTGTGTCCCTGTGCGCTTGGAGCAAGCCACATGGGTTCTGCCTCAGTACCTTTGCACTGCCTAAAACCTTGCCCATGTCGCTGTCCACCCCCACTTTTTTTTTTTTTTATCTTGAAGTGAAGTGAGTTATCTCGAGTGTGGGCTCTGGAGTCCAAATGACTGAATTCAAATTCTAACTCACCCACTGTGTGACCTTAGACAAATCATTAACCTCTCTGAACCTCTGTTTCCTCATCTGTCCCWCAAGGGGAAACGATGGACGAGGAGGGTAGTTGTCCTCTCCAGTGATTTTTAAAGTCTTTAAAAATCCTTAAAGTCCTTCACCCCCTGGTACAAAGCGAGCCCCTCACAAGTGAGTCATCTCTTMCTCCTCCTTATGATCTTCCAATGGCTACCAATTGCAGGGCGCGGTATGGGGAGATTCACTTTGAAGAKCAAGAGAACAAGAAAGAGCAAGCTGGTTTCCTTCCCAAGATTTGCTCTCCGGAGCTCGGGAGATGTTCCGGKTGTCAGGGCAAAGACTTTCTTTGGGGCCGTGTGCGGGACCCACAGCCTGCAGAGTGACCACAGGGGAATTTGTCCCAAGTTCCTCAAAACATGGCTGGAAAAAGGAAAAGGCACATATGTCCAGAAATAAAGTGCAAGAGGCCTTCTCTGTCCCCCTGGACTGGCCGTGCAGAGCATCTGTAAGTTGCTCCCCAAAGCTGAGTCCACGGCGGGATGGGGGCTGGACATGCATCCGCGGGGACCCAGCGCGTCCCCCCCCCCTCTGGACACATTTCCTTTCCACACTCGGGGGCAAGCTTGGGGACAGGAGCACCAGGTTCACATCCCAGCTCCTGCCAGCAGCTTGAGGGACGGTCTCTCTGAGCCTCTCTCCATCTGCCCCCAGGGTTGGCAGGATGAGCCCAGATGACGGTGCCCCGCGGTGCCAGGCGGTCTCGCGGTGGTCATGGTGACGATCGAGTTCCTCTTTGGAGGCTGCAGGGCGTGAGCTGGTTCTGTCCCCTGGTCTCTTAAATGTCATCCAGAGACATTTGAACCTGTCCTGAGCCTCGGGCTTGTTAGGAGACAGAACCTCTCTCCGTCTGGAGAACGTCTTCTCTCTAGTCTCTTTTTGAGTCCCTGTGTCCCCATGGTCCCTGTGGCCAGCCTTTGGGTGTCTCTATTTGAGAGAAGGGCAAAGCAGGCCACGGCACAGGGGACCAGGGGTTCTGCCTTCAAGGACATGGGGACTGGGCTCAGGGACCTCCCCCAGGGGCCTGGTGCAGGAGACRGAGGTGGGGACAGTCGGGGTCACGGGGGCTGCTCAGACCCAGTGGGCAGGCAGGCGTGTGGCTGGTGGGACAGGCCAGTTTGCAGAGGGACAGGGGGGTCTCCAGGAGCCTGGACAGGCTCTGTCCCCAGGGCTCAGCCTTCTAAGTCCCCCAGAGGTGGGGCCACTGAGCCTCCCCGATACCCCTTCAGCCTCGAGCCTCTGTTTGCACATCTGTGGGAAGTGGCTCCCTCGTGGTCACTGAGAGGCTTGTGGGGATGATGTCACCTGTCCCCCGGAGGCAGATGTCGTCCTGGCGGCCCCCACGGCTTGCTGGGTGACCTTTGGCGAGCACAGGCCACGCCTGGCCGGTCCCCACCTTGCTCTGCGGGGAGGGGCGGGCGGGGGCGGGGCGGCCGGGCCACATCCTCCTCCGCCCGCCGCCGGCGACAGGGATGGCAGCCGCCCGCCGCCGCCTCGCACAGACCCACGGGCGTCGCTCCGCCGGGTGGCCGAGGGCCCCGCGCCCGGGCACCCGCCTGCTTCTCTCGGGCTGCGCCTGAGGCTGTCCCCGGGCCTCGTCCACCCCGGGCGGCCAGCGGGTCCCTGCCCCGCGCTCYTGTCGCCTGCTCCCGGCCCTGCCTGCGTCCCACCCGCCCAGAGCCCCGCCGTCCCTCGGCCTGGGTGACCCGTGYGGTGGCCGACGCGGGGCAGGGTGTGGATCGCCACCCGGCTGGACCCTGCCCTCCTCTCTCACCTCGTCTCCCGTCCTCCGCGGAGGCCAGCTGCCTCCACCCGGGAGGCCACCCGATCGCGGGGACAACGGAATGGGTTTCTGAGGAAGACACTGCAGGAGCAGGTAACTAGGTCCTGTCGCTGTCCCCGGGCAGGACAACTTCTCCCCCAGGAGGACCTGCCTCAGTGCCCAACAGGAGGGCTCCGAGCCTGTGGGCAGGTGGCGCCTGGGGACACGGAGTCACAGAAGCTTCATGCCAGTGGGCAGAGTGGGGCTGGAGTCCCCGCTTGGCCCGGCTCCGGATGACTGGAGGTCTTTGATGTGGCTCTGCAGGGAGCTCAGGCCCGAGGCAGGGGCATGGCTGAGATGACCGTCTATAGAAACCAGCCTCCAAGAATCAGGGGCTCCATGGCCTGGGTCCTGGGCATCGTGCCAGGCCACAGTGGGCACAGGGGCCGAGACTGCAGCCTCCCAGGCCGCTCTGGCGGGCAGAGACATCAGCCAGGGCGTCCGTGTTTTGTCACCTGTATTTTATCTCATCCTTCAAAACCCGGCTGGGCGCCCATTTCACAGGAAATGAAACCTGGAGACGGAGGACGATTTTCCTTTGGGCCTCAACTAGGATACGGCAGGTGGGCAGTCAAACCAGGTGACCCCGCGGCCCTCTCCTGGTCTTTATCATGAAGCCTGGGGGTGGGTCAGATGATAAGAGGCTGCTCCTCTTGTGTGTGGAGGAGGGGGAGTGAGGAGCTGAGTGACCCGGTGGAGAGCCACAGGGGAGCCAGGTGTGGCGAAAGGACTCAGGACACTCAGGAGGGGTGGCAGTTTCTGCCCAGCAGGAGCCCCGAGGCTGCTCCTGGGACAGCTGTGGCTCCCTTGGGGGTTGAGAGCACGTGGTGACTGGGGAAAACCTGGCCGGAGAGTCTGGCCATGTGCCTTCCCAGGCTGGTGAGCTCAGGCAGATCTCCGCTTGGTCTCGCCTCGTGTCCTCGTGTTTGTCACATGTGTAACACGGGGACAGGGGGGGCTGTCTGTCAGGACTCAAGGTCATAACAAAGTGACCTTTGAGAGAGGGAGTTTGTACCATGAGCCATGGGGGGAGGAGCTGGACCCCACGAGTGGCAGAGGGTGTGGGGACGTCCCCGACACAGCAGCCCTGCCTGCCTGGCCCTCCCAGGACCTCCCACAACCCTCAGGGGACCCAGCCCATTTCACAGATGGTGAGACTGAGGCCCCGGGTTCACTGTGACCAGGAAATACCCAGCTCAGAGTACACGACGGCAAGGTCACCACCCGTGGGACAGGGTGACAGGAAAAGAAGATTCACGTCACAGGGCACCTTCTGAGAAGGGCCACCCCCATCAGGACCGCTGGGCATCCATTCCAGGGGAGTGGCCGTGGCCAGGTGGGGACCCTGGTCCTTYGGGAGCCTGGCCTGCCCCGCCTGGGGGTGTCGGGGTCTTTGTCGGCCCCACAGAGGGGGCTCAGGAGAGCAGGACCCAGGCTGAGCCTGAGCCCWCGGCTCCCGCCTCCCCAGCCAGGTCGGCCCGAGTCCCCAGGAGGAGAGAGGGAGGGCGGGCCACCGCCTTGGGGTGACCAGGGGAGGGGACGTGGCGGCAACGGGCTGGGGAGTCCTGCAGGAGAGGAGAGCAGCCTCGGGAGGCTGAGCGGGGTCCCTGTGGTCACTGGGGGCGCTGGGCTGACTCACGGGGACTCGGCTGACCGTGATTTTGGAATCAGACGGAACCGGGTTCAAATCCCAGCTCTCCCACTTAGTGCTCGTGGGACCTGAGTGTCCCTGTGACCTCTCTGAACCCCAGTTACTTGTCTGTGATGGGAGGAAATGTCTGTAAGGACAAGAATCGGGGCACCCTGCTCAGGTGGGTCGTGAGAATTTGTTCGGAGGGTTTTTATTGAGCACGTACTATGGGGTCAGACACCTGCCCGGGTCCTGGGCTTGGTAACACAGACAGCCAAAGCCAGCGGAGCCCACAGGCTCTGATGAGGAGCAGGTGCTTAGGACCAGCAGGTTTTACTCTTTTGAGGGAGGGGGCAGAGGGGTCCTGGGGATGGAACCCAGAGGTGCTTTACCACTGAGCCACATCCCCAGCCCTTTTTAAATTTTTTTTCTTTTAGGCAGGTCTCACGACATTGTGTAGGGTCAGACTTAGTTGCTGAGGCTGGCCTCAAACTTGCGATCCTCCTGCCTCGGCCTCCTGAGTCACTGGGTGGTTTTACTTTGATACTATCGATGATAATCTCTGCGGCTGTTACCTGCMGTAGTCTGACATGCTCTGAGTTCCACAATGGCAGCTCTTTTGGTGATGGTGCCCCCACTGCACAGATGGGGAAGCTGAGGCCCAGAGAGGGGGGAGGGGTTTCTAGGGCCACCCGGGGAGCCATCTTGTGTCTGGGGGACACACCTTCCTGAGGAAGACGGTCCTTCTGCTCCACGTCCCCTTCCCCACGGGCTCTCCAGGGCCCTGAAACGGGGGGGGGGGGGAGGAGTGGGAGGAGCACCCTCCCCCACGGCTCCTGGGTGCCACCACCCCCACTCCCTGCCCTGGCCCTCTGCCAAAGGGACTTTTCACGACAGCTCAAACGAGAGAGAGTGCTGAGTGAACTTGGAACTTCTGAGACAACCTGAGAATATTCCCCAGGTCGCAGCAGGGGCCCTCAATGGGGACCAGGCTGCTGGTCCCTGCAGCCCTCAAGAAGGGTCCAGCCACCCCAATGGTCCCCAGGGAGGCAGGTGCACCAGCCCTTCCTGGCTGTGTGACCACAGCAGAGGCTCTGGGCCTCTCTGGGCTTCAGTTTCCTCATCTGCCAAGCGGCTGCCCGCTCTCTCCAGGGTGAATTGGCGACACCCAGTCTCCTGCCTGGTTACTGCCCAGGAGCACCTGGTCCTGCCCTGGTTGGCCAGGGATGGAGGGGCAGTTGCTCGCGGGCCCCGCCTTCCTGCCTCCAGGCCGCAGCAGCTGCGGTTGAGAGCATCCTGCAGCTGCCTCACGCCTCCCCGGGGCTGCAGGGCCGCCGGAGCTGGGAGAGGGCGCAGCCTGGGCGCGGAGGCTTCTGGGACGCAGGACTCAGGCAGGGGAGGGTGCGGCCCGGGGTGCGCGCCAGCTCCTGGGCCAGGGGGGTGCAGCAGGTGCTCAGGGGGAGGCCGGGAGGCTGCAGGGGGAGGCCCTTCCCCCTGCACCGAGCGCTCYGGGCGAGGCCCTTGCACACCAGTCCCCAGAGGGCATGACCCAGCCGGCCAACGCCACGGGCACCCCCCGGGCTCCCCGCTCCATTAGACAGATGGGAGGCCGAGGCCCAGGAGAGCCTGAGAGGGGGACGAGGCCCACCCTGGGTTTGCAGCAGAGGCCGCTTTCTGGCCCAGGGCCGCCTGAGACTCTGCTCAGGTGAGAGCTTGCAGGTGAGCCCGGCCGTCCGCGCCCTCCTCCGGAAGCTCCTGGTCGCAGACTCCGGGAGCTGAGGGAGGAGAGAGGGTGACTCTGGGGACAGGGACGAGGCTGAGGTGGAAACTGCGACTTCTCGCCTCGCTTCCTTGAATCCCTTCTCCATCTTTCGTCTCTGCTGGCCGAGCCCGGGCTCCATTCCAGACCCCGCGCCATGCACGAGGAAAATACTGCGGGAACAGAGAGGTCAACCACCCAACCTCTGGGCGCTTGGGCTTCAGCCCAGAGACGTCCACTAAACTGAGCCTCAGATGACTAGGAAGGAGATCCACAGGGATGTGTGGGCTGGGGACTGCAGAGAAGATCCACTTCTGACAGAGGCGTCACTGAAGTTGAAATATGAGGATGGAAATGCAAGCTGGGGGCAAAGCGTCCTCAGCAGAGGGAGTGGTGCGTGCAAAGGTCCTGAGGTGAGGGGAAAGGTGGAGCATTGGAGATTTTATCCTCCTCAAGTACATAAGATCCACAGGGCACTGAATTTAAGGCGGGGATGCTGAGAAGGAAACACCCCGGCTCTGGGCTTTGGCGGAGGGGTGCACTCCAGAGGAAGGGGCGACTCTCACTCCGTGGGGGGCCAGAGATCAACAGAGGAGGCGACATCTGGACTGAATGTGGAGGACGGCATGGGAGGCTGCCGGGCCCAGCAGAGCCGAGGGTTCTGTGGCCGAGAGGGCACAGGCCAGGTGTCAGCACCAGGTGAGCCGCGAGCTGACCAAGCTGGTGGCACCTGGTGCGCAGCGGGTGGAGGGGACAGAAAGGTGGAGCCAGGCTGGAACCGAGCAGGCCCAGGGCAGGTCACAAGAGGCCCTGGAAGACCCAGCGGACCTCGCCGCCTGGGTTCTGGGTTCCCTCTCGGGAAGTCCCGAAGTGACACTTCTGCTTCCAGCCACTGTCGCCCGGGTTTACGGCCCCTCTGGGGAGTCCCTCCCCCGCCTCCTGGTTTCTTCTTGGTTCCTTTGGGAAACGGGACATTTTACTTTTCACCCCCACCCCTTTCACTTTCCACCCTGCGGCCCCCACCTGGGCCACACGGATTGACTGACGCCAGGAACTGCCTGCCCCTCCCGCCGCCGGGGAGAGCGGGAGACGCGGGAAGCGGTTCCTTCCAGGTTGGGAAGCGCACGGAGGAGCCTGGGGAGCGCAGAGGACCACCTGCCCGCGCAGGCGCAGAGGGCTCCAGGGCTCTATCCGCCAGCCCTGGCACAGGGAGCGGAACGTGGAGGACACGGAGTGACAATGCACTCCCTCCAGATGGTTTTTAGCACTTGAAATATATGTCTATGAATCGGAAAAGATTCCTAAATGTGCATATATGTGATGCCATGTATAGACTYCTCTTGTTCCAATTTTGGTTTCTTTTACATTTTCTTATTGGAAAAAAAATTTTTGTCTCATTTAAAATTTTTTTTTTTAAATTTCTTAGTTGTCAGTGGACAATTTTTATTTTCATTTATTTCTTTATATGCAGTGCTGAGGATCGAACCCAGTGCCTCACACCTGCTAGGAGAGCGCTCTACCCTTGAGCCACAACCCAGCCCTGGAAATCTGGATGAACAAAAATCCTTCCTTTTAACTAAACTTATCAGTCTTTTCCTTGATGCCAGGAGCTTTCTGCTCTGGGTTCACTAAAACACGATGTTTCCTTCTAGATGATTTTGTTGT